ATTGCCTTTTCTCTTTTACTTTCCTTTTTAGTTTTATTTTAGGATTCCCTATTTTTAATGTTCATACGGAGATTTCTTTAACTGAAATACGGAATAGTTTCTTTGGTGTGAAAAACTACAATAGTACACAGGATCCTAACGAGATAATTAATAATGTGAAATAGGAAGTAAAGGGCTAAAGGTGTAAGGAAAGTGGGAAGGGTGGGGGAAAGGTAATAAGGGAGAGGAAAGAAATATGAGAAACTGAAAAAATGGAAATAAAGTGTTTGTAAATGGGGAGGGGAGGAGGGGGTGAAGGGAGGGCAGGGACAAGGGGAAAAATGAGAATCAAGACCTATTATGTAAAGGTACAGAATCCCAATGATGAATGTAATTGTATTGTATACCTAGATTGTACCAATAACCTCAATAAAAGGAAAAAAAATATTGTGTGGTTTCTCTTATAGGAGAAATCCAAAATATAAATGAAGGCAAAAATAAAAAAGATAATGGCAGGTAGGGAGAAAGTTTTTTTTTTGCCAAAAGGGAAGTAGATCAAGAGATGGAAGGGGAAGGAGAGGGAGGGGAAGGGAATGAAAAACAAGAATTGAGAATGTGTTATGTACACGTATCATCTTTCCACAAGGAGTATAATTGTTTTATAATGTAAACAGGTACTAATAAAGAAAAAGGAGGTGAGGGTTCCTGGCAGGGACGTCCTTCCCATTTCAGGTTCATTTACACTAGAAGTTGTCTAACTAACACCAAATGGATGTTTGTTGGGGGCTCAGGGCACCTGGCCTGTGTGGCCACCTTGGTCAAGGAAGACCATAGAGAAGAAGTCACAGGCCCACAGCCCTAGGTCTGGCCCTTTTTGGAGCACTCGGTGCATTTACTGCCTGCCAGCGTTTTACTGTCAGTGGGGTTTCCTTCCACAGGGGACATGTAAAGCTTGCTGTCGGGGACGCAAAGGTGATCTCCAGCCAGCCTCAGTACCTATAACAGTGCTCACTCGGCACATCCATGGCCTTCCGAGGGCACCCCAGGATTGAGGCTGCCAGGTGAGTACTCTTACCCTTGTCATCCACTCTTGCCTGCTGAGATGCTGAGGTTACTCCTCTGATGGCAGGTGTCTAGTGTGTGCTGAGTGGTCGGGCTCCTTTTTGCTTTTATTTCATGGCATGTTACCTCACCCCCATGTCCTGGTTCTTCAGAGAGGCCTCCATTTACGTCATTGGGAAAAGTCATTCTGTTATGTCTCTTTCACTTTGTTGTCTGAAGTGAATTTATATCTACCTGCTATCACTGCCTTTGTTGATTGGCCCACACCCTGTAGTTAAAGTTTATACTCCAGGAGAATGAGGACTTTGTCTTGATCAAATGCCTAGAACAATACCTAGCACATCATATATGCTCAATAAATGTTTATTGAAGGAATGAATGAAGGAGGGAAGCTAATTAGGCACTCCTCAAGCCAGAGTGGGTTTCTTTCCTATGACTCTTGTCATCCGTTCTGCAGCTGTATAAACCCCTGCAGACCCTAAGCCGTATGTTGGATCTTCTTTCCTTTGTCTCTGGTGATCTCTGGATCCATTTTTCTCACTTCATGGTCTAAGAAATTGATTTTTTTCAACCACAGATATTCCTCATTTAATGATCCACCTGTTCAATGACTGCTTTTTTAGTACTGTTCCATACATCTTGCTTATAGAGCTTCAGGGCACCTTGTTTATACAGTACTATAATTTTTGCTGATTGTATTGTACAGTATTATAGTTTTATGTTATCTTATGTATTACAGTACTGCATGTAAGAGTCATGCAAATACAAAGTCACCAAGGTGGAGTTTTCTTTGACCATTTTTTGTGTGTTGAATATTATAATGTACCTACTATGTACAATTCCTCATTTAGTGGCCAAATTCATGTAATAACCTAATTGACCAAGTCCCAGGAATGAAACTTGGTCCTTAGGAGAGGGGTGCCTGTAATTCTGCAAGAGAGTTGCCCAGAACCTGAGAATGAACTCTTTGCCCTAGGGCAGTGATGGTAAATCTTTGAGAGATTTCAGTGATAACAGCGGGCTGGGGCAAGCATGCCATAGGTTCACTTACCCCTGCCCCGGAGAATATGAAAGTCAGGGATGAAAATAAAACACGTACAGCAGGGCTGAGTTAAAGTATTCACAACAGCATTGTGTAACTCCTCTGTGACTCACCCATTTATTTAAATGATATCAGAATATGACAATCTGTTGAGAAAAAGAATGCACATTATTCCATTCCGGGAAAGGGGCACTATCACATTGCTTTTAAAAAGTCTTAAAATTTTCCTACTGAATCTATTGTTAAGAGAAATAAGCATTGCCAAATGCCCGATTCTGCCTTTATTGGTCCTGATAGCTGGGATCTTTAACCAGTTGTTCCCGGCTGTTTTGGTTGGTGCTGTTTAACCCACATGGAAAACATGATCCCATCAAAGCTGATTTGCCTCCAGCTTCTTGGCCATTTGAGGGTTCGCCAGGAGATATGTACTAGGGAGGATGGAGGACCCTCTTGAGCTGCAAGGTCTATCCTAGGCTCCTCTCTGCCTGGATGCCCACTATGATATAACAGGAGAACTTTGCCTGGGTGGACACCTAGGTCTCTCAATCTCTGACATTAATTAGCTGACTGCATGACTTTGGCCTGTGATACAGTCACTATTTGTTTTATTACCCCAGGTGACCCACTGGGTTCTTCCAGCTGAAGTACCTGGGATCCTGTCAGGTCACTTGCTGTTTTGGCTTTCTTCTCCCAGCAGAGGTAAACGGTGATTGTCTGGCTTTCAGGTCTAGCCTGGCGATAGCTTTGTCTTGGTGCACAGTACAGTTGCCTCAATTCCTGACCTGGCCAGTCCTGATCATCTGAGGATCATCCAAGTGCTATTTTCCTTTTTTTCTCTGGTCCTGGAAGGTCTGCCCCTTGCCTCCTCCCCTCCTTCCCCCTTGTCTTTTCTTAATCTTTCTGAAGTATCAGATCCCTTGTAATGAATGAGATTGAAAAGGCAAAATTAGCTTTTAAAAGGGCTTTTTGGCATGTCAATAATAGCATCAACAACAGTAACAATAACAACATCTTACATTTAAGGTTTTTAGTCATATTTTACAGCGCTTTTAAATACATCATTTTGTCAGCTACTTGAGGGGCCTTCATGTGAATCTGAGAGGGACTTTTCCCCTTCCTGATGCTGCTCAAGGGAACTAGAGCTGAGTGGCCCCTTCTGCACATGTGTGTCCCACACACACACACTACACCATCTTTTCAGGGTGCAAATTAACCAACAGATGATTTCCTGTCCACGTGGCTTTCTGTTCTTAGAATTCTGGCCATTCAAGAAGATATTGAGTTTTTAACTTTGTTGGAGATACTTCATTTTGGGAAGGATTTTTACAAAATGTTCTTTGTACTTGACATTTCTTAAAGTTAACGCTTGCAAAATTGAGGGGAAGGCTCAAAATCTACCCACTGCAAGCTGTACTAAGACAGAGCTGATTTTTTTTCTGTTTTAGCTGACAATGGGTAGATTCAGTAATGAGCCTAGAAGGTAAGTGGAAGAGGGAGGCTTTGAGATCCTTGGAGAAGCAGAAAGAAAGCCACTAGTCTGGTGAGTCCTCCCAGGATGCCAGTGGCCCTGGGTAAGTAAGGCTCTTGAAGTGGCAGGCTGCCTGGACGTTGCACTGGGTGGGGAGAAGAGGGTTAAAGGTGTAGGTAGGAGAATAAGGATTAGGTCAACCTGGCCTGGCTGGGTTGGGCTGGAGGGGGATGGGGGATGGGACGGGTGTTGGCCAGATCCTAGCTCAACCTTTGCAGGGCTGAGCTTCTCAGCTGCCAAGAAGACTTGGGATCCACTTTGAAATATGTTTTCTAGCCACAGAGGGAACATGCAGGAGCCCCGAGGCCATTTTGGGTGTTAGAGATTAACCTTTACTTTGCTACCAGTTCTTTCAGTCAGAGCTTGCCTTGTTTTTCCTCGCTGAAACACTCTGTGGCCTGGGCTGGCATTCCCAGCTGTGTGTGCTTTACCCCTCACCTTCACATCTACCCCATTTCTGTTTCCCAACGTGCATCTTGTACTTCTGCCACCCAGGACCTCTGGCTGCTCCCCTAACAAGCTGGACTTTTTTTTTCCCTCTCACATTTTAGTGTTTTTTATTAGGCTGATCCAGGGAAAATTCAACTTCCCTTTCTGCTCCTGGCAAATTGTTCATCCTCCAAGGCCCAAGACTGGAAATTTCCTCCTCTAGACAGCACTTCTCTTCTTTAAACTGCCATTGGGGAACTCATAATTGTCCATTTTCATCACCGTTTCTACCTCACACTGTATATAATTCCTTAAAGGTGGGATATGTTTGTCCCGCAGAGGAAGCAGAGTGATTTAGTGGTTGAGTCAGCAAGTTCTGGAGCCTGATATCTTAGATTCAAATCTTAGCTCTGAAATTTCTTAGTATCTTCTCTTTGGTAAATTTCTTACCTTCTCTGTTTCAGTCTGCTTAACTGTAAAGTGGATCAGTAATGTTTTTAACAAGATTGTTTTGAGAATTGAATGAATGTATATAAATATAGTAAATAGAACAATTCTCATATCACGTTGTCAATGCTAAATAAATCTATGAACAAATCCATAATAAGGTACAGTACCCAGAGCATAATACATATCCACATGCAGATTTTAAAGTAAATTTCTCCAGAAAATCCCTCCCTGCTTGTCTTCACCTTGCCTGTTCCCCTATCTTCCCTTTTTTCTTTCTTCCTTCTTTTTGCCTTGAGTCTTTGGCCCACCATTGGTCTCCACAAAGCAACTAGGTTCCTCTGGGGACACTCAGAGCCAAAAGATCCCAGACTGTCCTCCCTGAGTCTTAAGCCGCGGAGGCTCTTGGGAAAGGAAGGGTGGGTGATGATAGCCAGGGATGTGGGAGCAGCTGAGCTCCTGTACTGAGTAAGAGTCTGGGGGCAGATGAGGGTGGAAGAGAGAATGGGAAGACAGGGACCGAGAAGGTCATTTAAGCACAGGGCCTTTGTAGAGCTGGGGATTTAGCTTATTGGTTCTACTACCTGCCTCACAAGCACAAGGACCCGAGTTCAATCCCTGGTACTGAAAGAAAAAAACAAAAAAAAACCAAGGCCTTTGCTCATGTTTCTTAGATACCTAAGTCCCTGTTCCTATCTACTATCTTTCTGTTTAAGAGGGAGGTAGAACAAAGAATGAATAAAACAGATAAGAGCAGGGGAAAAGGTTAGGCAAAGCATCTGCTTTCCTTTTAATTTAGGGCTAGGTGATGACCTTAACCTACCCAAATCTCCTGTGTTCAGGCAGTCTGGAGAAGAATCTAGAGCTCTGGGTTTGCATTCCAGTTCTGGGTCCTCCACTTATCAGATGGGTGGTTTACAGCGAGTTACAGAGCCTAGGTTTCCTTAGCTAGGAAAAAGGACTTGTTGTCTACTCTCCCCAGAGAGGCAGCGGGTGAGTGAAGTATAGTTCAGATGCGCATTGGAAAGTGCTGCAGATGGGCAGTTGGTCTTCGTTGCTGTGATGGTGGCCTGGGTGATCAGGAGCCTGAGGCCACCTCTTGGACATCTGAGGGCCCTCGGGAGGCTTGGCTCCTGGCCCTTTTCATGCCAGCCTCTGACTGCTCTCCTGGTGTTCATTCCAACGTGAAATCAGCAGGCGAGGGGAGGAAGGGCCCGAGGAAGCTGCATGACCCCTGTCTTCTTCCTTTGCCTCACTCAAGAGAAAAGACAGCTTTTTTTTTTTTTTTCTTTTTGGTACCGGGGATGGAACTCGGGACCTTGCATGGTAGGTGGTGGTACCACTAAGCTAAATCCCTGGCTCAGGAAGAGCTACTGTAGGATTTGATGAAATAGGCTCAGATTAAGTGTTTGGCAAGGTCTAAGTAAGTTTGCTAACATAAATCAGGGCCACTCAGGAAGGAGGAAAGGTCTTCCTGTGGTCCCAGACCTTGCAGTATGCCCACGGCTGGCAGAAAGCAATTGTTTCGAGCCGTGGCGAGATTCAGGAAGGCCAGGGCTGCTTTCTCCTGGAAGCAATAGGTGTCTTGGGTAGAGACAACCAGAGCCCTTAAAGACTGGGTGCTTTTAGGGAAGAGAGAGGAAAAAAAAAAAGCAGTTACAAACAAGAAACCAAGAGCAATCTTCCTTCTCCCTCTTCCTCTGAGTCCTTTTCCGACTGCTTCACCACCATCAAAGCTTCCTCCTACATCCTCAGACAGGCTTTCATTTCTTTATTCTTATCCTTTTGTTTAAACCATTTTTATTAGTCTTATTTGTCTTAAAATTTTAAAACAGCTGTTTATAAAAACACGACAAATACACATCACAAAACAAAACAGTAAAAATAACTCACTATATGGTACATATACTCAGACGGTGTGATATATTTATATAATAAAAGATGAAAATAGTCACTTTCCATAATAAAAATAAGTTCTATTTTTTGTTTATTTTACAATATACTTAATATTCTCTCTTTTTTTCTCTTCCTCTCCAGCTTTCTCTCCTTCATTCTGAATCTCATAGGGGGCCCACGTGGCTGTCCCGAACCCCACCAAGCTGGAGTCTGAGAGGCAGTGGGTGGGCATGCGGGCAGAGGGGCTTAGGAACAGGGGCGGCAACCACACTCTAAGTGTCTTTCCACCTCTTCCATGAATGAGGAGCCATCCGTGCACTGGAACACATATTTCCGTCGCTTGCTACGGATGGGCTGGCAGCACTGGGGCCCGCAGCCCCCACGACATTCCATTATGGGCACTTTGGAGGCTGTGGCGCACGATGCGTAACCTTTCTGACGGTGAATCGTTTCTCGGACAACCTCCCCCAGACACGGATTCTCTGCAGAGGGCAGAAGAGGGAGCGTTATGGTACTGGTGGTGCAGCGGGCGTGAGTGTGTCCTAGGTGGCATGACTGAAACGCGTGTGATCTGATGACCACGGGTGCTTACTCCCTTGTCTGTCTGTGCATTCTATCCACTCACCGACCCATCCATCCATTCCACTGTTCACACACGTTAGGGGCCTCCTCTGTGCCGGGTTCACCAGACTTACAGTGAAGCCCCGGGAAGACAATGGCAGTGGGAACAGGCTTGTAACTTTCTGTCAAGGAGCTTAAAGTCTAGACTGGAGGAGACAGCCTATCAGATCGTAAGCTAAATCCCATCCCTAGGCAAGTTTTAATTGCCTTACATACTCTTAAAGAAGTAAACAAAATGCCACCATTTTAAAAATCAAGGGGTTTCACTTGAGAGTTTGGATTTCTGGCTACTTTGAAAACCAGGACATCTGGAAAGGCTGAGCCTGCTTTGCACTGCAAAGATGGGCAGACAGTGCTTTGGATATAGCAGGAGATGCTCAGTTTGCCCCAAACCCCAGTACTCCCAGTAACCTGTCTCTCTCAGTCTACAATCTGGACACTAATGATAGGATCATTTAAGTGACTATATCTGTAATGAGAAACTGAGGTAGATGCTATGATGAAAGGGACATATTTATTTCCAGTAATGGAGATCAATCTTATTATAGGACCTTGTGCTTGCGAGGCAGGCGCGTGACACAGAGCTAAATCCCCGGCCCGGGACATATGTATGTAAGAGAACATAGCAACAGAATGTGACCTGGGCCAGGAGCCAGGGTGGCTTCTCTAGGAAGTTGCTGTAGACGTGCAGTCTGAGTAAGGAGCAAGAGCGGATGAGGTGGGAAGGAACTAAGGGATGAACTTTTCTGGAACTTCTAGAAAAAAACTAGAGGGGGCCAGGAAGGGGGAGCCCCTGGGTCTGCCCGAATATTCTTCACTTTCCGCTCTCTACTGTCCTCACGACTGTGAGAGAAGGTCTGGAACAAGGCACTGCGTAGGGTGGCCGTGGACTTGCACACAGGATCCTCAGCCAGGACAGCTTATTTGTTCTCCCAGAGTCTACTTCCTTGACTGGAAAATGGTGACGCACTGACCTATTAATTCATAGGCTCTTAGGGACATCAGAGGAGGACAGAGGTGGGGATATAGCTCAGTGGTACAGTGCTCACCAACCACATACAGGGTCCTGGGCTTCATCCCCAGTACCGCATAAAACGAAAGCCAAGGCAAAGGGAATATGAGAGCTGTTTATACTACACCTATGATTGTTCTGTGATTCCGAAATTATTGCAAAATAGAGTACTTAACTTTTTTTTAAATGAGCAGTTTTGGCTAAGAACAGTATTTTGTCTGGGTATGAAATGCGACAGGGTACAAGTGACAGGGTGACAGTGTGCACGCAGGGCTAACAACCTGCAAGGTGAGATAGGACCATTTTAATTTTAACATGACTTTAATTTTCCTTTTTGGAGCCCAACCCAAAAGCGGACAACAAAAAGGACCACTAGTGGGGGAAGTGAACTTCAGTTTATGAGCATGGCTCACACCAAGCACCTGTCTTCTGTTGATCCAGTGGCAGGAGGAGGTCTGCATAGAGACTGTAGCCGGTATCTCTAACATATGGCTTCCCTGGGCCACACTGAAGCATTGTCTTGGGCAGCATATAAAATATATAATGAATCTCTATCAGTAGTAAAACTTTTGTATTTGTTATTATAAAACTAAAAAAATAAAGTGGGCAAGTGGCTTATGGGCCACAGGTCAGACACACCTGAGAAGAATGTTTGCAGTGTCACGGTATCCAAGGACCAAAATGCAAAAGAAAGCAAGAGGAGGTGAGGAGGAGCAAGAATACCTGACTGCTCACTCCGCCTCCCTCCAGAGGCCCCCAGGGGATCGTTTTCTACACTGGCGCATTTCACCTCTAAATTCGTTTCTCCTTTGTTAAAAGTCTACACGTCAAGAATCTTTAACTTTTTTTGTTATTTGTACTTAGTTTTTGAAAATTGTATTTTGACACAAAGATTGCATATACTTACAGGGTACAGTGTGTGATGTTTTGTTCCAGTTTACACTGTGAAATGATCAAATCAGGGTGATTGCCCTATCTTCATCTCAAACGTAATTCTTTGTGGTGAGAAGATTCAAGATCTATTGTATTTTGAAATACGCATGCTAATTAGTCACCCTCCTGTGCAACAGAACACCGGTATCTCCCTGTCACCCCTTTCCCCTCCCTTCCCCAGGCACCGGTAAACACAGTTCCACGATTTAAATCTGAGATCAGCTTGTTTAGATTCCACACAGAAGTGTATCATACAGTATTGAATATTGGTATATTGGTGTTAGGCTTGTTTCACTTAATGTGATGTCCTTTGGATTTATCAATATTGTCACAAGTGACAGGAATTCATCCTTTTCATGACTGAGTAGTAGTCTACTGTGTATATAACATATATATA